ATATGTACAAAAAATTTGAACATTTTTCACTTTACAGTTAGGAGACCGGAAGCTTTTAAATTGTTGTTAACGAGAAAATAGTTTGGTCAAATTATATGCGCTATAATTCACACGCAAGATACTGAAATTAATAAGTACAGAAATTAAAATAAGCGATCAGCCGATCACAAAGGATCAAGTGTAATTTGACCTGACACTAGAAAGGTTATTATGAGGTGCCAAATATGACAAAATAGATCATAGTTGGGTGATATATATTACTGCAAATATATACAGTATAACTTGTCCCCAGTCGCTTACCCAACTCGGGGCATCCCCATGGTCCTTTGCGTTATACTAAATTTTCATCGCATTCCCATGAATCATTGCACGAATAAGCAATGTTAGGGACTGTGGAAGAGTCAGCGCCTCTGTCGCTCAGTTGGTTAGAGCGTAGACTTGCTCCAAGTCTCTCTTTCCTTGTCATATAGTATCGATCCACTATAGTGTAGATTACATGACGTAGTATGGAGGGGCGGAGCGCAGAAAGAGAGACTTGTCAACTTCGGAAAATCTCGGTTCAAAACTGAACCGAAAATGCAAGACTTGCTTTAATTGTTTTCTGTCAGTGTTTATATGTATTGATCTAGCACAGTGTAAATAACATGAGTTCCATTAAAGTAAATGATACAGAAAGAAATTGAAGGAAAACAATTAAAGCAAGTCTTGCATTTTCGGTTCAGTTTTGAACCGAGATTTTCCGAAGTTGACAAGTCTCTCTTTCTCGCTCCGCCCCTCCGTGCTACGTCATGTAATGTACACTATAGTGGATCGATACTATATGACAATGAAAGAGAGACTTGGAGCAAGTCTAGTTAGAGCGCTGCACCGGAATCGCAGGGTCGCAGGTTCAATTCCTGCCAGGGACCTAAAAAGTTGCATTTTTTGCTTCTATTTCTGGTTAGGTCTAATAAATGTATATAAATTTCCACTCGACAATTTCCATCTACAATATCCTTCAAACATTTAAGAAGAGCAATTTTGAACTGATACAGCTATCCAGTATAAATAAAATTAGTTTTCTGTACCTAACTTAGTTTTCTTCAATGAACTTGGCAGGTTTTCAAGAGACTTCACCTTGGTACTGTGTCGTTTGGGACGGATTCAATGGACGAGGTATGACGAGATATTATTACGAGAATTATTGCAAGTATTGATCGCTCTATGGGAAGAGGGGGATGGGCACTGAAAACCCTATAGGAGTTGGGATTCACCCCTTCCTACACTCACCGGTAAGTGTGTTTCCTACCCAGTCCTACTGTACGCATCCTCATTACGCATTCTCGTTCAAAAGCGCAGAAGCCCTGGGTACGATATTGCGTTCTCATTTATAATATAGCACGTGGGGCCTATTCTTCTATTCGTCATGTTAGCGCACTGCCCTTTACCTCGTAAGTTAAACATGCTACTACAGGGTCAACAGATTTACCAGTACCTTGGGTAACTTCCTAATTCCTATGCCTGAAAAACGCATGTAAAGTTTGGTTGTTCTCCGCTCTTCAGGATTTTCTCCTGGTCCTTCCGTTTTTCTTTCTCATGGAAAATTAACCCTTGGAGACCTTTGTCAACTGGGTTGTAAAATTGGGTTTGGGTTGTAAAGCTGTTAAGACTTATCGTGCACCATAAGCTGGTAAGTATAGTGATAATCAAACTACAACATGACTGTTTTTGTTTCAGGTTGTGACGCACTTACGTACCGCAACATCAACCGTCGTCACGACAGCATTAAAGAAAGCTGGACAATCAAAGGTACTTGAGACTTTCCGAATAAACCCAGTCGACCAGCATATGCTTATGCCATTTTCTACCCTGTTCACTGGTACACGCATCAACCAAATCAATCAATCCATATAGTTTTTGCCTCGGGTGAATCGGGAAACCACACCCAAACAAGAAAAAATGCGCAATTTTTTACAGATCTGAAAACAAACAGGATGTTTTCGGACTACTTGTTCCAGTTGTTGTTATCGCCTTGTTACAGAGTTGATGACAGTAACAGGTTTGCTACAAGTTGTTCCAACAAGACTAATACAGGCTGTTCGTAACAAGTTTGTTTTCATCAACTTGTTACCAACTTGCTGGAACAACTATTCTTACAAGATGATAGCGACTTGTTTCAAATTTGTCAACAACTGGGAACAAGCAGTGCGAACATATCTTGTGACAAGCAAGTGTGTAATGTGCAATAAAAGAAAACATCATAAAGTAATATTTTTACTTTCATACATTTCAATAAAGTTATATTTGATGTTTGTGATGTTACTCTGAGTGCATACCCACACCAGGCAAGCTTGAAAAACATGCCTGGCCACGGTGGCACTCAGAGTAACATCACAAACATCATTTTCACCTGAGTACACAACCCCAACACAGAAAATCATGATTAACAGTTACATTTATTGTTACTGTTGCAAGTAGTGAATTTCCTCTCATTATTATTCTCAGGTGCGACGTACTGTAGTCACCCGAGTGCACGAGGCAGTCAAAGCGTTGGCATTATGTCATAATGTTACACCCGTGCGCAAAGGAGAGGAGAATGGGGAGAGTGAAGAGTCCTCGAGTCCGGCAAAGCAGGATGGAATTACAGATGATGATGAGGGTGAAGTAGGTGCAGTGAGCGATGACTTCACTTATCAAGCGTCCAGTCCTGACGAGGTGAGATCCTGATCTCTAATTATAACAACAGCCATTTCATGCATATTTCCCGGGCGCACTTTATATAAGGCACATTTCCACTAAAGAAAAATTTTCACGGACAGAAAATTTTCGGGAAACATCATTGTTAGAAAAAATTTGTGTCGGCCAATCACATTTTACAAATTTTTCTTTCCGCGGAAAATTCTCTTGAGTAGAAATGGGCCTTTATACTGTAAATTTCCAGGGGTAACTTTACCGTGTACAAAGCCGAGGGTTGTGTAACTTTTTCCTGCATATTTCCGATGGAGGAAGTGTATCACCTCCAGTACCGTAGTTCCAAAAACATCCCATAAATCTTGGAAATTTGGGTCGTTTGGAATGTTGATAGGACAGTGGTCAGACAGGTCAGTGCATGCAGTCACCTCCCAGACAGTCTGGGCCAGACTGGATTTCATTTCCGGCAATTTGCAGTGATCTGATTGTGATTTCGTCTCAGCCACATGTGAGAAGACAGGGTGTTAGCCAGAAGTAAAAAAAATGCGCGTTTACCTGAAATTGGGAAATTTATTTTAGCCTGAAGCCAGGCATTTCTTTGTGGGTCTCGGGGCATGCGGTTGCCCCCTCTCGATTTTTAAAATTTTTGTGTCTTTGAAATGGCATTTCCCGCATTTTGGGAGTAATTTTGAGCAAATGTAGTTATGAACATGTTTTTAATGGCGTATTTAAAACAACATTGAATTTCTATAACTATTTTTTGGCTGACCCAAATTGGGAAATTGCGACCTCAAGGTAATTGGGAAAACCGCGTTTAACGCGGAATTTTTGACTGTAGCTAACACCCTGGAAGAGTGTTTTCGATAAAACCACACTCCGTAGATTTTCTCCAGGTACTTTCATTTCCTACTGTAGTAACACTAGAGCACCTCATGGCATGCATGTAGACATTTTTGTGCAGGGGCCAGTTGTTCAAAGCTGGATTAGCGCTAACCCTGGGTTAAAAAGTAACTTGCTGTTTTAGTTTATGTATTTCTGCACGTCTGTTTATTTCAAAACTTCAGAGAAGAAAACTCCTACTGATTCAGACTCGATCTCTGAAGAAATATTTCCAAATTTATGAAGAAGCTATTGGAAAGTTTGCTTTGAATTTTGGGTTAACCTAGGGTTAAGCTAACCCAGCTTTGAACAACCGGCCCCCTCAAATGGAGCTAGTCTATGCCGGCGCAGCTATTAACTTCAGTCTTAGACAGCTAGCTCCACTGCCTTAATTGTTACTCTAAATATTCCTCTGTAATCAAATACGTAATGCCTAGTTCAGATTCTTGTGGTATTCTTTTGAGAACAGTTTAGAACTGATAGAGCCATCCAGTATACATAAAGTAGTATATTAATACATTCAATATCATTGTGTTTTAAGGTTGCTCTCGTGACTTGGGCAGAAACGGTTGGTTTAAGTTTGATAACGCGAGATCTCACCACCATGACACTTCGCTCACCACATGGCCAGATTATGGAATATGAAATTTTACAAATATTTCCCTTCACATCCGAGTCGAAGAGAATGGGGATTATAGTTAGGGTAAGTTAGTAGGGCCCGGCTTCTTGGTTTTTCAAAAATGACCAAAACTTATTGGATGTAATATAATGTCACAAATTTACACTCGTGCGAACGTCACCCTAATTTCTTTACACTCTTCTTGCAGGATCAAAGTACGGGAGAAATCACGTTCTATTTAAAAGGAGCAGATGTCGTGATGGCCAATATTGTGCAATATAATGATTGGCTGGAGGAAGAGGTGCGTGATTGTCACAAGATTGTAAATACATTCTGCGTATACTTGAACAGCTTGTATCAGCCTGCGAACAGGCTATCTAGGGAAAGAGTGCCTGCAGTTTAGCGCAAAAAGACTAAGGTTACATAAGTAGTAATCAATGTCGCTATAATTTGATCATTTTGATGTCCTGTCGACACTAAATAATTATGAAAGAAAAGAAGTAACATTGACTAAAACCCCGTAAAACAACCCTGAGCCCTAACCTTCATAGAACATTAGCATTTAACTGCCAATTTTAATATAGTTCAAAAGTACAGTACTTGTACCTGGCTGTTGTATATAGGAGTTCAAATCACGCATTCATCGAGACGAGATGTGTTTTATGTCTGGTGTATTTCTTTTATATTCAGAGTGGTAATATGGCTCGTGAAGGACTGAGAACTCTGGTTGTTTCAAAGAAAGTTCTATCTGAAGAACAATATCAAGATTTCGAGGTAAATAAATTAAAGTTAATTTCTTCTTTGGTTGGCAGTACCAGGTGATACAGATTCTTCATGCCTGTTTACTGATGACATATGTTGTTTTGATAAATGTTTTTTTCTTGTTTATTCAAGTATCGATATAGTCAAGCCAAAGTGAGTTTAACAGAAAGGGCAGCAAAGGTGAGTTGTTCGTAACTAAATCTGGAAATGCTGTTCACACTTCCCGAATTTTCTTGAGTGTACACGAGACAATGGTACGAGATCGATATTGAGATCGATACGAGATCGACTTTATTTAAACCAGAGTAGCGAGCGAAACATGATTGATATACCTGGTTGCAGTGAACGAACAAACTTCACAATGATCACATTTCTGCCTCGAGTTCAGGTAGTTGCATGTTGAAGTGTCCACAGGTGGGTTTTAGTATTAACATTACGATGCAGCAAATTGTGGTCCATTTGCTGCATCGTAACGTTAGCATGGTAACACCACTGATATCAGTGGGTAACACTTACAGGAGCAGGAAAGTTAAGCCCTGGGCAAACTAGGAAACATTGTTGTGGAAACATTTGTGATTCTCAATGTTTCCTGAAATGTTTCCCTGTTTGCCCACCAGTGGAAACATTGTTGCGGAAACAAAATTTGCTTCCCGGGAAGCAAAAATGTTTTCCTAGTAAATTCAGAAACATTTGATGTTTCCCTATGTTTCTCACTATTGTTTCCTAGTGTTTGCCCACTCTGGGAAACATGGCGAAACATTCATAGGAAACAATGTTTCCGCAACAATATTTCCTGGTTTGCCCAGGGCTTTCAGCTACATCTCTCAATTCTATTTATAGGCCTATGTCTGGAGGGAAATATAATTACCTTATTATAGGAAATTAACGATGCACTTTATCAGGCTTCGATAAAGTGCGCGAGCGCCGCTCGCAGGCACCTTTTACATTTTTGCAGGCACATTTTAAAATACTGACATTTTAACAATATTTAGGTCACAAAATCTAAATAAGATGTTTTTTTTGCAGGCACATTTTGAATTTCGCTCGCAGGCACGAAAAAATGTTATCGAGGCCTGCACTTTATTAACGCGACATAAATTAACGCGACATCAAATTAACGCGGATTGCTTCTAGGTCTTTTAAAGCATGATTATATTAACGCGAATCTGATCTCCATGGTTGATAAATTAATTAAATTAACGCGAATCGGAAAATATAGACACAACAACAACAACAAAGGTTTAATGTTAAGAGGAGCACTGATGTATTTAGTTTACGTTAATATGCTGTATTTTGATATTAAAAGAGTTAGTGTTATATAAAACAAATCTAGGTATTTTTAACTAACGATAAATGAAAATTACATACTTAAAATTAACGATCACATAAATTAACATTAATTAAATTAACGCGAATTTTTAAAATCCGCGTTAATAAAGTGCATCGTTAATTTCCTATAATAAGGTAGGACTTCCATGCATATAATGAAAATGGTTCACATTTATTTTCTCACTCTGATAACTGTTGGTTGACCACCATCTGCTGCACAAGAAATCATTTTCAAATTTTCATTTCTTCCTGAAACCCAGCTATTATTAT